GAAATTTAGGCCGCAAAAAATAAATAAGATATTAAATGTTATTATTGGATATGGTGGGACGAGTCCCCCATGAGTATTAAACACATAATAATACACAGAAAAAAAAAACGTAGCTAATTAAATGTTTAGACCAGATCGTAGCGCATACCCCATATTGTTAACACCTGGCAGCACTTACAGTTTTAAAACCGATCTCTAAATGTCGAGCAGAATTTAATAACGTTAAAATGCATATTACAATTTACAATTATGCACTAAAACACATTCAAGTTAAAATAAATAGCATTTAAATGCGAACTTAAATTATTGAAACGCCCTGGGCCTGTGTTACAGTTTGATGTGCATTGCTGCCAAGGAATGATAAGCAAAATGGCAGCAACTCACTTTACTCATTGAGAGCGCTCTCAAGCACAACTCATAACGTTTTTGTGTCTCTTTAGGTTTGTGAATTAACTTAATCAAGTTCAGCTCTACGCTCAAAGAGAAGTCGTAAATGCAAAGAGTGCAGTTAGCCGTTGGTGAGAGCAGTGAGAAAGAGCAACGCGTTGCCAACTAGCTTATCAATGTTCAGTTGGCAGCGCGACGGCAGTTCAATTTTGAATTTAATATGCGATTTTGCAGAATGAACGAACACAGGGCGAAATTAAATTTACAAACATAAATACGATTTAAAAATAAACAAAAAAAAAAAGTGTAATTTCAAAAACTAAATGTGCAAGCTGTCAATGTCAATACAATACATACACATATTTACAGTGGAGTTCATTAGTTAAAAGACATACAAAAATTGCAAACTAAAACCTAATCCTAAATTTAAAACGAATTAATCCACATTGTTGTTGTGATCTGCAGAAACCAAAATAAACGTTAAACAAACAGAATTACCTTAAAATAAAGAACTAATTTTATTTTTGATTCAATCGCTTGCTCTTTCCATTTCTTAAAACCTATATACATGCAAATTGTGGCCAATTAAGAACACGTCATAAAACTTACAGGTAACAATAACAAAAAAGAAAACCGATTGTAAAATGTTAACACAAATAAGTTCGTCTTGATATGTCTAAAGTCTTACAGACATTGGCTAATCTTGGAGCATTAGATTTCAGGAAATCACACGGACACAAAATAGGACATTCGTTACGGATAAAAAAATATAGATATATATATATAATTCGCTATAGATAGTTTAAAATGTAAACAAAGATTTCTAAGGCACCATAGATCCGGGCGGCCAGACGGCGGTCACAGCATTTGCACAAAGGCCAAGCTCAGCAACAAGCCGACGGCCATGCCCACGCTCAGGGAGGCGGCCATTATGGAGGCGGCCAGTTCCTTCTCGTGCTGATCGACGCTTCTGCAAGGATATTGTCCATATTAGAGTCTGACAAAAGGCGCTTTTAAAGAGGGGGGGCCTCACCTTGGCGCCATTATGAGCAGTATGTTGGTCAGGTAGCCGTTGGACAGCGCAAAGGCTATGATCATGGCCATGAAGGTGTAGTCGTGCTGCACCAGCGTGGGCAGGAAGTGGTGCTCGCTGCTGTTCGAGCAGAGGAAGCAGGGCACGAACAGCACACGCACCACCGTCCAGAGCAGCGTCGTCTGCTGGCTCCTGGGGCACTCCAGCCAGCCGGCAGTCAGGCGGCCAAAGTAATCGCCGCAATTGAAGAACAAATAGTTCACAACGGGCAGGTAGTAAACATCTGAAAGTGGGCAACCATTAGCAAGGTGCACAAATATAAAGCTAACAACGATATTAACCAGTTTTGTCCGCGTCAGTTTTAAGTTTTCACGCATTTTTCGATCTACTTTCCGCGCCTAGTTGTGAATTTCTTAAAGTTAATCGCATTGAATTAATCGATTTTCAATGTAGAGCTTGCAACAGGACTTTAAATTCAATCCTGCGACCAATCCATTTGATAGATCTTCAAATAAATTACTTTTAAGCTGATCGCATTACAATAACAAACTATTCAAACACACTTTCGCCCATTTCCACTTGTGAAAGTGGATTTGAAGAACTTTTTAAATGGGCATAGGCCCGCTTTGGGCCTTTAAAACAGTCGATTTTAAGATTAGAAAAGTTCCCCAGTGTTCTTTAAAACTAAACTTCCACTCATTTCCCGACTGCGTGGGTGAATGTGCCACATTGTGGTTATCGGATATTATTTGAAATCTGGACTTTGAAACTAGCGATTTCTTGAGTCAGTCCTCAGTCAGTCAGTGCGCTGAGTGCGTCATGCAGTTCCCCATAAATATTTAGATATCAAGTAGGGCTCATACCACTCCACTCGGTGTGACTGGCGGAATTCTCCGATTGCATGAGCACCGTCACCGACGGATAAACGGAGAGCGTTGTGGCATATAGCAGGGCGAGGCAGACGGCCTGCATGTAGATTTTGCCCAGCACTTGCTTGAGGATCGGCTCGAGGGGCACGCCCGACTCGTCGCTGCGGCTGTGCGAGGGCAGGGCGCTAATCACTTTGAACTTATCGCCGCCATCCAGATAATACTTAAAGTACGCCTGGCGCGCCATCACAGAGTAGCAGACGATGCAGAAGAAGATCAGCAGGGCGCCCATGATGAAGAACACAAAGGCGGTGGCTGAGGGGCCCGCATCGAAGGCGAGCACCAAAATGAACGCCAATGCAGTGAGTATGCCGCCCAGCGCCTGGCCACTGACCACAGCTGTCATATACTCCGAGGGAAAGAGGCCGGCGACGCCGTACAGGGCGCCCGACATGGTCGCCGAGCTAACTGAAAGCAGAAAGAAGATATAGATTGATGGGCAGGCATCTCGCAGTTTCTACCCACTGTTCAGTATGACCACAATGATGAGCGTGATGAGAAAGAACTGCTCCTGCCAGCGGTCCGTGTCGACCTCCACGAAGCCCGTGGTGACGCCAAAGAGCACGAGTATCGTGCACAGCGTGCCCAGCATCTTGGCACGCAGCGACACATAATGTCCATAGACGGCGTTCAGCAGCAGGAACGTGGTGCCCGAAATGGTCGCGGTCAGGGCCAGGTCGCAGGCGAAGCTCTTCTGGAGCGGCGTCAGCTCCTCCTCGGGATGTGTGCCGTTCAGTGTTGTGTTGCGGAATTTGTATTTCCAATACTGCGAAAATTGATGCAGTTTAGTGAGTGAACGACCGCCTGATACCCTGTATGAATTGCGCCCATCTCTTCTTTCCTAAGTTTCCCCAACATAAAAAGAAATCTGGCTTCTGAGTACCCATTATTTTGACAAAGAGGGTATTTAAGCGTGTATATATTATATATATATATCTGTATATGTGTAGATTAATTATCTGTGCGAAGTAAATTGACAATCGATATTTATCTTCTCGAGCATACAGTGATCTCTCGATAACTGGGTTCATTCGCCTCTTAAATTGATGCTAATTAGGAAATATATTAAATTGCAATATGATGCGAATATGTTTATTCAAATGATTGTTCTTTCGAGCGTTTTAATAGTATGCAAATAAGCGTATAGATTTGCTCATTCTAATAGTTTTGCTTATCGAGCGAACTCTGCCTTCTTTCCTAAGCAACCCCCCTTACCGTTTATGGTAATGAGTACAGGGTGCAACAAGTCCAAAGTAGGCAAGCAACGGTTGTTCGTTTGCTGGGAGAGGGGCGCTAGGCGTGGGGGGCGCGCTGACTCAACCAAAATAGCGTAAACAAAGAGAAACTAAAGACGATAACAATAACAACAACAACAACAACAACAAAGAGAACGAGAACAGCCATTAATAAAAAGCACAATGCCAGAACGGAGATAAGAAAACGTCTTAGACAGCGACGCAAAAGTTGCGCTTGTAAATCGAACATAATGCGGGCACAAGGGGGGGAAGGGGGCGGGTCGCTACTTACGTCTTCGGCGGTGACGAAAAAGTTCCAGGGCGTCATGGTGCCAATGCCGAGCAGGTAGAAGACGCAATAGGTTAGGGCGGCGCCTGCACTGGGCGCATTCGTCAGCTGGACCACCTCGTCCCGATCCCGTTCCCGTACGAGCAGGCAGCGTTCGTCATCGTCGACGTCGTACTGTGGCGAAAAGGCGGGCACAAAGCCTCGCTGCTCGCTGCCCAGCATCGGTTCGTCCTGCTGCTCCTCCGCCTCCTGCTGCTGCTGCTGCTCCTCATCAAGCAGCCGTTGCTGATCTCCGTCCCGTTGCATTTCGTGTTGCTCTTCGCACCCACAAAAACAGCTGTTGTCGCTTCTCCTTCTCCTTCTTGTTATTAATCTTTGCTACTTCATCAGCAGCCGTGTAAATAATATCTGTTTATAAGTGCATGTGTTTCAAATTTCACGCTTCCAAATGATTTTCGCTGAGTCGCGCTTTTCCTCTTGCTGTCCTCTTCGCTCCCGTCTGTTGTTGTTGCACTGTCCGACGCATAAACAATAATATTTAACGCCCGTGTACAAACAAGAATGTTTTAGGGTTTGTTCTGCTCAGAGTTGTATTTTCTTTTTGGTATTTTTTGGTATTTTCAGCGCTTGCCGCGCACAGCCACACTGTGTTAGGTTAGGTTTGCAGCACATGTTACAAAGCACAAAGGTATTCCTTCTTTTCATGTGATTTAATTATTGAATAATTTGAACTATTATTAAGAATGTAAAAATAAATTAATTTTAATTTATTAATTTTTGTTATAATTTTAATGAATACATTAATTTTTATGTGCAACACTTGATTGTGGTTTCCCCGTTATCTGGTCACATTTCTATTATTACTTTTATTTAAAAACTCAAGCAAAAACTATATTACAATATACGCACGTTAGATATGTAGGTAAACTATATTTATTATGTTTATGAAAGTCCAAAAAAACAATAGCCAGCTATGAACAATAATATCTTAATATATAGATATGACGCATCAAATTAACGGCGTGCAGTGTATTAGAGGGTCGACTTGCTGTGTTTGCGCACACACAATCGCTTGTTTTGCTTTGGCTCTGAGAGTTTTTGTTTTGCTTGTGCCTCTCAGTTCGTTGAAAACGTGCAAACGAGACGGACGTTGCCTTTTCGTGTCGATTTATTGTCGCCAACGCGTCGCCGTCGCTCGGAGTCGGAGCCCCACAGCCAGCAAACATTTGCTACAGATTAAAAGAGCTAAAAAACAAACGAACAGGGAAACAATAATTGAGTGCTATTTGCTTAGTTAATTGAAAATGCAATCAGCCAAAAAAAATTAAGTACAAAATAAAACTAAACGAAGAAAGAAGTGAACAGAAAAACAAAAAACGGACGCAGCTTCCTTTCGGAAAAGGCGTGTGTGTGTGTGTTGTGTGTGTTTTTGTTTGTTGTTATTGTGTTTGTAGCTGTTGTTTCGTATTAGGCAAGCAGCAAAACGTGATATGCAAATAACAATATCAACAGCAGCAACAACAACAACAACAAGACGGTTTCGCGTATGTGCCTGACACAGCAACAGCAACAACAACAACACCAACAACAACAACAACAGCAGCAGCCGCCGAGACAATCGAAAATTGCGCGCCAAAAAGCAGATGCGAAACAAAAGGATTCATAAAACATACACACACAAAAATACCCATACAGACGCAAGCAGCTGAGAGCATTCGATACAACAACAACAACAACAACAACAAAGAGCAACGAAATCAAAACAGAAGCTGGCAAAGACGCAGTCTACGAAAATTCCAGTTTCATCTGACGAGCGCTAAACTCACCACGGCACAAAAAGGACGCCCAGAAGGCGACGACACTTGAAGCATTTGGCTGTGTGGTGAGTTTCTTTTGTTTTTTTGCTCGTTTTCTACTTTTTTTTTTTAAGTGCAGTGTTTGATTTCTTTTTGAATGTCGGCGCAAACATTTGACGAAAGTGCAAAAGTCAAGGCTCCGCCGTGCCGATTATGTGACCTTTGCCAAGCATCGAGTGTGCACAGTCCTTGACAAGCCTGTCACTGACTCTGTCCGCCTCTCCCACTGTCCCCTGCCACGCACAGTGGTCACGTTTGTGCTAAAAAATGAAGCAACTCCTTTTGATCTTTATCTTTATTGCTTAAAGTGGCTTTCAAATGAAGAAGAAGAGCATGAGAAACACAAAGCCGATTAATCCACTGTGACGAAATCACATGCATATGGATGACATATCCGCATATCCGCAAGCAAACGAGTTACGTCAGGTAGAAGAATTTATCAGATAACAGATTTATTTTTTTTTCTCGTTAAGCCTTTGTTCTCTAAGCTGCTGCATCGAATGGGGTTTGTAATTGAGGCTGCTTAAAGAGAGCGAGAGAGAGACTTGGAGATTTACGAAATCTGCTTAGCTTAATTGCATTTACGAATTATGTGAAAACTAATGAATTGTTGCCAGAAAAAAATTCCATTAACGACATTAAGACAAGGCAAAATAATAAAAAAGTCAAATCTTTATTGTCACTTTATCTTTTCGTTTACTCAAAAATATTTCAAATTTGTTACTCTATTAAATTGAGTCAAAAAACAACAAAATTGGTTTCAAAGTGAATATATGTATATTCCCGTAATTAGTTTTTGTTTTTGGACAATGAAAAACTCAATGGAATGAAAGTCTTAAGTTTCACGTAATGATTTATTACAGGCGTACTCTTCAGATACGTATAACAAAGACTATCATCAATTTTAAGTGAGAAATTCATGATTTGATGAAAGATAAAGAAACGCTTGCAATATTCGTCACAAGTGACCTTTGTGACCTCTAGTTGCCTATATGTACGTCATCCAAAAAGACTCGACAGATTTTGCATAATAAGAATGAGTGATAAAATAGGTGCTAATTTTGTCTGAAATCCAGCGCAAATGATTTAATTTCAAATAATATGCCTTTAATAAATCCAGGCAATTTCGATGCACAGCTTATCAACATGCCAGGCACAATATAAAAACCTTTACATTTATGACTCTCTTTCAACTCTCTCCACTCTCATAATGTAACTGATAAGAGAACAGAAACACGCAGGAGAAATCCGCTTAACCAATAAAAAAAAAACAAATTGGCCAAGCAATTATCATTTGGTGGCGATCTAACGACATTTCGGCTCACTGTGCCTTGGCCTGTGGCTCTTCATCTTCTGCTGTTGCTGCGTCCTGTGTCTGAGTGCAAGTGTGTGCGTGTGTGTGTGTGTGTGTGTGTGTTGGGTGCGCCTGTGTTTGTGTGCCGGTAATCAAACGTCTAGACGGGGAGATGTTGCAGCTTCTTTCGGTTCGCTCAAACCCCGCTTATCGCCCGCCCCTGCCGACAAAGCACGCACACAGTCACACTCAAACAGACATAACGCAACATGCTTGCACATAATCCCTTTTTATTGCGCTCTCGTCATGGAGGAGTCAAAAGACAAACAACCAAAAACCAAGTACACCGTAAAAGAGGGATAGAGAGAGCGAGAGAGAGGGAGAGAGCGAGTGAGTTTGAGTCCTGAAACCCGTTCTGTTCTGAGTGTGAATAATGGGCGTGGGAAACTCCACTCAACTGGCGTCGCCGTCGCCGCGCTCAATCATGATGAAAATAGCGCTCGTAAATTACAAAACCATGGTTTTATTTGTCAAAATTTGAAACTTATTTGAACAGGCGCCGAGCAAAGGGCAGCAAGTCGACAAACGGCAATCGACGGTGGCAATCGGCCAGTTTCCCCAGTTCTCCAGTTGCCAGGCGAGTTGTTAATTTTGTTATTTCGAATTTGCCTTTTGCTGTTGTTTGTTTGCTGTTGTTGTTGTAGTTGTTGTTGTTGTTGTTGTTTCGGCTCTTTTTGCTTCGTGCTTGTGATTAGCATGCTAGCCGCGCGCTCATTTCTTCGTGTATATGTACATGTGTGCGTGTTTGTGCATGCGAGAGAGACAGAAAGAGAGAGAGAGAGAGAGAGAGCCCTTTCGAAATCAGTCGGAGACGCACTGGAACGCACTACACTCATATCAATATGAATTTTCGTCAATGAACTTCTAATTGGATTCTCTTATCGTATCAGAATTGATTTAGTGCTGCATAGAGAGAGTGCGCCGGGTGCAATCAACCCCAAGACATTGTGTAATATGCCCGTTTGATCTGCTGTTTGATTCCGATCATCAATTTAATTGGGCATTACACGCAAATGATGTGATTGTATTTGTACGTACATATGTACTTTCCTTGACTGCTTCCGTCAATTTATTTATCAGCCTTTGTAGCATAGTACACGGGTTTATTGTGCAGATTCGCATTGTGTGTTTTTTTTTTAATCTTTGAACAGTTGTTGCGAGCACTTCTAAAGCGCAATTGCCTTAAATGACGCACATGAGCTCGAGCTTAAGCTCCCGTTGTGCTTTTTCCGCTGCCAAAATGAGCAAAGTATAGCAACAATAAGTAAATGAGCTAATTCGACGCCATTCCCATGCCCACTTCCACTCCCAATTGCGGTGCCCGCTCGACACTCAACCCACTGGAAATGTTGTTGGAATGGGAATTGGATTTGCGAAAAAAGCGCAAAGGCAAGGCCGCGACGGCCACTCAAAACAATGGGTACCAAAAGAATGAGAATGAGCGCGAGCTCAATGAATGAATGAAGTACATAAAGCGAGTACCGTATGCAGCCAGAGTAACTTTTCGGGTGCGTGGTGTGTGTGTGTGTGTGCGCGCGCTTTATTGTATGTATGTAATTTTGTTGTTGTCATTTGAATGATGTCGATTAGCCGCATATGGGAATTTGTGAATGTGCTGCTGCCTTAAATGGTCATATTTTGATGTGTTATTTCAATTGCGTTTTGAGCTTCGAGTGCTCTCTCTCTCTCTCTCTCTTACACTCACTCTTGCGTCTGCAGTTGACCAAATGTGGCTGAGATTGCGATTCCGGCTTATGCAATTCATTATGGCCACAATTTGCCGCAGCTACAACAAAATGCAATTGAGTCGCCGTTTGGTAATGAATGCCACACGGCAAGCCCCTTCTGCCACCCCTCTCAGCATGCCTAAGTTACTCAAAAAACGAAAAAAGTAAATAAAAGTGAAAACTTGTTTTGCTTTCTGCTGTGTTATTGTATACACACAGGGTGTACATAGTTTATTGCTGCCGCTGTTGTTATTGTTTTATGTCTTGCATTTGACTTTGACTTTTCAACTCATCATCATAATCATTATCAACATCATGAACATCATCAGCAGCAACACAAGCGACAGTGGTACAATGTGTTAACAACTGTAAATTGACTCACACACACACGCACACACACATACTTGCATATCCATTTATCACAGACAATTTGTTGAAGTCGCGCTTTTCCGATCTGTTTTTGTACACGTTATCTGTGCGCCCGATCCATTGTTTTTTGGGAGGCAACCACTGTGCAATGACCGAGTCCAAAGCAACCACCAGCACCGAACCGACGTCGGTCGCGATGGCGCTTTCGATTTTTCTTGCCTTTGCAACCCCGCACGCAGTAGCAGCA